AACATAGCTATATCCTTTTCATAACTCAGTGGTCTATTTTGCCACAAGCTGAAATCAGTGAAGCTCAGCAGAAGTGTTACACCCCAGCTTGGGGCACCTTTAAATAGGTGAAGAACATGTTAGAGATTTATGAACCCCTCTTCATCTCATGATTCAGAAAGGGTGACCAGGCACCTCTGAAAATCTATCCCAGTGCTTCTGCAAGGAAGTCAGAAGGACAACAAAGTCTTCTCTGAGGCCTTGCATTATCACTAAATGACTCAAGGGAGAGAAGACAGTGTAACGAGCAGACAAGAAGAATAGCAGATAAGAACCTTAAGAAAAGCAAATTGAAATGGTTTGTAATGAACTGAAGGACAGAATTATAGAAGGACTACCAAAAAAAAAGATTTTGAAATGACAGAAAAAATAGGGAGAGCAGAGAAAGGAGGGCACCATGAAAATTAATTAAAACACAGAAAGAAAAAAATAATTAATAGATGAAAAGGCATGCTTTAAAATAAATAAAGATATGAGGTTTTGCAAAACACAGTCATTGAGAGAAGCATAATAAATCAGAGCTAGATATCAAATAATCTAACTATGCATACCTTCATCAATGGGTTCATACTTCATAATAATTTCTAAGGCAGTTGTTTCATTAGCTTCAGTTTGAAATTGTTCTTTTGCAAGAAATTTCAGGAGCTGGCCATCAGGTAGAATGTTGCCATCAACTGAGTAAGCCTTGAATAGTTCTTCAAATTCAGGTCTGTGAACAAGAGCTCGATAAACTGCTTTGAAGTCATCCATGTTAATCTTATCTCCTGTCTGCTTGTCAGTGGTTTTCTGAGGAAAAAAGCAATAAAATAATTTTTAAAAAAATCAATAAAGCAACATGCATATCTGCAAAATTATGCACCAAACATTTTTTTATAACTGACCGTAGGAGTGGGAATCATAGAAGAATCCTCAGGCAACAGTGACTACAATCAGATTACACTCTTCAACTTTTAGATTACACTTTGTGTGCTACAAATATTTTATATAAAGTAAAATGGACCATATGACATAATTAGCATCTAAATAAGTACAATAAATTTAGATTTAAAGCATTTCTGATATTAAACACATTAACACATTGTAGAAAAATCTCTAAAATTGTGTGCATTAAAATAAATGTGCAGCATAAAACTTATCAAGTGGAAAAATATATTTAGTATAATACCTCTCCAACAGCTATTTTTACCATATTTTAGATACTGTCAGTGAAATTTGCATACAAAAACAGCAACCAGTAATCTTAAAAATGAAATAAAGATGACCAAATTATCAAGACACACAAGCCTTTTAACACTTCAAATAAGAAACAATATTAAAATTTGAAGTCGATATTTTATAATAACCTATGACATCATGTTCTATTCTTAACAAGCCAGAATGTTTAACTTAGATTAATTATTCACACTTTCAGAATTCTTGAATTGTAAGGTTGTTTTCATAGAGCTTACAAAATGTTAGCATAGTAATTAATTTCAGTGTTTCAGCATAAAAGCCAAAAGAAAAGTTGAAAGGGCAAAAGAATTTGAGTAGAATAATATCTTTTTACCATTTCTACTTTTTGTGTTTTTCTCAGGTTTAACAATTAAATTTGTCCTTTAAAATTCTCTACTCAAAATAAGTAACTGCTACAAAATACAAATGTTTCTAACATTTTAGCCTGAATTATTCTTAAAAGTTGCCAAATTAAGAGAAATCTGCAGACAAAATTACTCAGAAAAATCACAAACAAATGGCAATCCACTGCCTCAGTGATCATAACTGTAAGCTGATGAAAATTCCTAATTGTTTGTTCCTTAAACAGAAACTACCAAAGAGGCCAAGTTCCAGCATCCAAAACATGGCACTTACAGTGGCTGGGTTGGCTTCCACAAAAGTGTCTATAAACAGGAAATTGCTTACTTGAGCTCTGGCTGCTCTTTGATCAAGATTTTGGATTACTGCTAAATTAGATTGGTTTTGAAGCCATACCATAAAACCTAAAATTTAATGATCCACTGCCAGTTCCTTCCTATGCAGTACAGTTCTTACTGTACCTGAATAAGTACAACAATAGGAGTAAAAATATATTAGATAACTGAAACAAGTACAAAATTAAATTTCATGAGGAGTTCTAGTGAAAAAGTCTTACAAATCAGTACTTCAGTATTTGCTTTGAGTTTGTGAAAGAGAATAATGATTTTTAACAAAAATCACTAGCAAGTAAAAATGCTAATTATAGACATTTCATTACTGCTGAGAAATTCCCCACCTAAGGCTGATATCCTCAATCCAATTTTTAATGTTCTTAACAATACAGCAAATTTGCTCATAACCATTAAGCAAAGAGAATACCAACTTATTTTGGAAATAAACAGTCTATCAGAACTTGGAAGATGTTCACTTAGTTACTGGCACAAAGAGAAGCTGGGCAAAAAATTAAAGTTTCTATTTTAGTTGCCTTTTAATTAAATAGAGGCAATAATACTACACAAGAGAGCTCTCCAAATTAAAGTGATAAAAATCATGTCACTATAAAAAAGATATTCTTACAACTTTTGGTGGTAGATTTTTGTCATTCCTATTTTTATTAATGCACATCAAATCTTTGCTGTTCAGAAAAAGAAGAGCCAAGAGTCTTGAGAGAAATTGTATGAAAATTTATTATTCCTTAAAACCTTAGTGTTCATAATTCTGATATTGCTCGAAAGAGTATTACAGTAAAATAAACTCAAAGAGAACAGACAAGGTAAAAGCAGATTATTCCTTTAAATTAGTTTTCTATAAAATGTATTGTGCTATGTATAACCATTAGATTAACTGCTGATGTGTAGTTACTCACAATGATGTCAGTAAGATTCCCTTCCAGAATGCTTTGAATTTTTACATGTTATTACACTGATTAAATATTTGAGCCCCCCAAACTACTGAACACCTGTAAATCTTTCTGAAATAGCAAAGAACACCTGTCAGTACTGCTATAAATAACTAGATCAGGCTATTGGGTATAATAGGTTATTAAATAGAACCAGATCAGACTTGTTCTTTGCAGATCACTTCCCTCAAATGATTCTTCATTTCTCTACCCACAGCTGACCATCACTCTCAAATTCCTGCCAGAAACCAAAGTCAGGGGAAGATAGAGGAAACAATGAGAAGTATTTTTAAATCCTCAAGAAGTTCTCTAGGTTGGCAAATATCTCCTTGCAAGTTCCAAAACCACAGGAAGCCTCTCTAGCCAGGGTTGAGCTCATGCTGCTGGTCCTACCTTGGCTTGACAAAAATGAGGGAGGAAGACAGGATGAGGAAAACTTAGTACCTATCTTCTCATGACCTAAAAGTTTCTGACTTGCCATAGTTAATTCTCCTCTGCCAAACCAGGACCCAGTATGTGCAAAGGCACACAGTTTTGCAGTATTTGCTCACTGGGACAAGATCTGCTTGGTAGTAGTTTCCTTGCCCACACTAAAGTAAATTATTAAGTCCAGTTTCTAGCTATAGCATGTAACCTTCATGGAAATCTCTCAGACACATCTCAAGGCCAAATCCTTTCCATGGGGGTTAGAGTGCAATTCCCATCCATTCAGGCACACCTCTTAAACACTGCAGAAGAGGTATAGAGGAGAATGGAATGAATGTGTGCTGGATCTAAAGCCTGAGCAGCTCAGACAAGTCCATGTTGTCCTCCTGGCAAGAGGATTTTGAGGAAATTGCCCTCATGGCTCTGCCCAGCGTCAGACGGGCACATGTCTGCTCATTAGCTTGATCACAGAAGAAGCTGAATAGGATGAAACCAGAATGCTTCAAGTTTTCTCAAGTGTGGTCGTGTCACAGAAAAACCCCTGTGAATCAAGAATGATGTGGTTTCCATCTGACACTAATTTGTTGTGGTGAAAAGAGTTATGTGGATGTCAGTCTCTTCTCCCAGCACCACGCAGTAGGACAAGCAGAAATGGACTCAAGCTGTGCCAGGGATGGTTTAGACTGGCTATTAGGAAAAATTTCTTCACTGAAAGTGTTGTCAAGCATTGGATCAGGCTGTCCGGGGAAGTGTCTGAGTCACCATTCCTTGAAAGTATTTAAAAGACATGTAGATGTGGTGCTTAGGGACAAGGTTTAGAGATGGACTTTTCAATGTATTAATGGCTGGATTCAGTTATCTTAGAGGTATTTTCCAATCTAAATGATTGTGATTCAAATGCAAGCCCTGGATTATCTATTTTACACAGAAACAAAAGACCTGGAGGAGGAAAATTCTTTGCTGATTTTGCATGCCACTCTAGCACAAAATACATTTCCCAAAAAATTAACTTGAAAAAAATCAGCAAATGTATGATGTGTGTAACTGAACTTCTAAACTGTTAATTGCTTAATGTAAATACACCTTACCTTGAAAATATGTTTTAAATGATCTTCATCAAAATTTATTTGCATTTTTTCAAGCAGTCTCATGCAACCTTCTAAATCAATATTCCCACTCTGGAAATCATTCCGAATGACACTCCAAAACCATGTATGAGACACGAGGTTAAGGAAGATTCTGGCCCATGAAATTGCCCATTCATGAGGGGGATGAGGGGGAGAAGTTTAATTTTGCTAAACCTAAGACTGTGCTTTCTTTTTCTCATACTCTAGAACATCACTGTGAGAATGTAGCAGGCCCCGGGGTGTTCAAGAAGAGATTTCTGTCCTCAGAGACTCGGAGGGCAGTGAGCAGAATGGCCAAAGGGAGGGTGTGAAGGAGGCCAGGGGGTGCTCAGGGTGCAGAAAGGGGTGCAGTGAGAGGAGGGAAATGTGGGGAGGCCGAGGGGACTCAGCAGCAGCAGGGAACGCTGGGAAATGCCAAGAAACACCAAGGAATGAGTGCCCCAGGCACTGTGCCCACCAAAACCTTATCAACAGCCCTGGCAGATGGGACTGGCTGCCCCAGGCCATCCCTGCCACCCTCCTGTGTGCCCAGGCCACCTCCAGGCCTGAGGGGAGACATGTCGGAAGGTCTCAATGACAGCTGGCCCAGGGCAGGGAGGAGAGAGGAGGAGGAGAAGGCGGCAGAGAAAAAGGATATCTATTCTCATCCATGGTGGCTGTGCTCCAGCCCCCTCAGTGCAGTGGCATCGCCAGCCCCGCTTGGGCTCACAGTGGGCTCCTCATGCCCGCTGTGTGCTGTTCGAGTGCCATGGAACGTTCGCCCCCCCATCCTCCAGGGCCGCTCTGGTGATGTCACAAACTGCACAGGCCCCTTCCTGCCACCGCTCCACCACCCTGCCACCATCGTGTTGCCTTGTCCTTCCAGCACAAAGCGTCTCCCAGGCCCTGTCCTCATCCATCATCTCCCACCCTCAGGATATCCCACGCCCCAGCCATGGCGGGAGCTGCGTGAGGCCGAGTAGGCCGTCTGCAACCAACGGTGCCAGTGTCCTCCTGGGGACTTTGGCCAGCTTGTCCGAGGTGTCTCTGCTCTGGTGAGGTGACAAATTGGTGAGGCAGGAGTTCACCACATCTTGCCCCAAAAAACCAGGAGCACTGTGCTACGAACACAGTGCAGCAGCCTGGGGCGAAACCCCTTCTTTGGGCCTTGGGGAACCAGCCGGCTCCACAGCACAGGGTGATGGTGGATGTGGGGAATGCCGAGAGGCCGCCCCAAAGGGCTGGAAAGCCACTCCAAAGGGCTGTGAGGCCATCCAAAATGGCTGGGAAACCATCCCAAAGGGCTGAAAGGCCATCCCAAAATGGCTGGAAGGCCACCCCAAAGGGCTAGAAGGCCATCAGAGTTGCCACTTCCCGGCAGGGAACTGCTGTGTCCTCAAAACCAGCCTGGGCAAGAGCAGCTGTGTGTGTCCATGTTGTCCTCCTGGCAAGAGGATTTTGAGGAAGTTGCTCTCATGGCTCTCATGTGCCTCATGCTTTGAGGCACAACAGTACACCAGTATCAGCCTTCGAATCACTGGGACAGCCTTTGGAAATCAGGCTGGACTTTAGTCCTTACTCCATTTCCCATTTCCCATTTCCCATCTCCCATATCCCTTTCCCCGCTCATTTTACAGGGATTCTTCCCCAGGCAAACTGCTTCAAAGTTGCCAGCTCCCATGTAGCTGTCAGCAAGCCTGAATGAGACTGTAAATGTGACAGACCAAAGGCAGTTTGCCACAGGTTTTATGAAACTTGTGAAAGCTGAGGACACCAAGTTTTGTACTGACATTCTGGAAAACATTCAGGTTTTGTCAGAGGATATATGGGGGAAAAATCTGTTGAGGAATTCCCTGTTACTCACACTTATATGAACTGGAATAAACTATGGAATGATCAGCATCTGAACATCAAGGTCTCCAATGCTGAAGTGCCTCAATGCTTGCTGAAATACTATCTTTGATATGATGGCCTAAATAAAAAAAAAAAAAAAAAAAAAACAGGGGGAAAAGACAAAATGGAGTTGTTTAATTGATTTATTTCTGGATCACTCAGGAGAGTACAGAGACTTCCATCAGTCAATCACCACTTTAAAAATAATTCAGGTCTGCAGCGACTAGAAATAATCTGGGGGTTTTTTTGGTTTTGGTTTGTTTTGTTTTGTTTTTTTTTCCACTTTCTTCATGTACTTTTCAAGTACTTTACTGGTAATGTTCAAAATGTCAAAGGCAGCACAGTGCTACAGGTGAGATAGTAAGCAAATTCTTATCTTCTTTTGTAATTTTAACCAAAATTATATTCACATATGTAACAAATGAAACATTGATTTTAAGGAAGTTGTTAAGGTAGATAGGCAAAGATATTGGGACATAATATCTAGATTTCTTTCATTGCTACAGAACCCCTGTAAATTCAGCCTTCAGGCTTTGCTTGTGCATTTATCTCTGAATGCCTAACACAGGCTCATGAACAAAAGGAAGAGCAGGACACTGGAGGAATAAATTTCTTATAGCTAGTGCAGAACATATTTCAGGACTGACCAGGCATGTAGGCTGGGTATTGCAGCATTAAAGAATAAAGTAATGCTACTCCCTCTCTCCCAGTATTTATTACAAAGGCCAAAGGAATGTGATTTTGGTTTACTTTCAAACTGTGATAGTGATTATTTCCTAACATTTATCACAAATTATTACAAATGCCTATCATCCTTGCTGTTTTCTGTAAACATAACTTTTAATTAGAGTTTCAACAGAAACAAAGTTTCATTTCAAGCACTACAGTAAACACTACACTTAGGAAACAAGTGTGAACATTTAAGCATTATTCTGACAAATACTAGATGTTTTTAATCTAAGCATAACATTTTGCTGCTGTTCCTCATGACTGGTGGGAATTGCAGTGCCACACGGGTTGAACACTCCCTTTGTAAATAGTCATCTGTATGAATAAATACACATCTGTGGCTTTAGAGATTCACTGCTGACTGGCCATGATTGCTTTCATTGTCTTACTTTTAAAATGTCATCAAGAACTACTCATTGCTACGGTTTCAAGGAGAACATGCTGAAAAAATGGGCATTTTCAGGTTACTCTTCTGAAGGAAAATTAAGATTTTGCATACTTACTGTCCTCTGATTTGCGAGGTTCCTTTCTCTGTGTACTTGGATATGATAATTAATTTCCCAGACAAACCAAAGCAGTTGAACAGAGAGAAAGATGGAGCATTTTCTGTGCTCCCTGGGTTCTTCAGAGAGAGCTGCATTACCTATGGGTCATTCTCTTTTCACCCCACAGCTGCTGCTGAGATCCATCCAACACCAATCCACCAATCCTTTAGTGCCTGTGCTGCTGCTGGACACCATTCAACGAGCAAGCAGCTGTCTTTACATGGAATTTGGTTGAATATGTGATTATTTCTTTATTGAAAATAAAAGTAATTATATTAAAAATGTTATGCAGGCCCGGGCTGCTATAATGAAGATGGCCTGTTGGGAGTGTGGCTTATATCTGCAGTACCAAAAAAGAGAAGAAATTTTGGGCATAGATTTATGTGCTAATAGACACAGATATAACACTAGAAAATCTGGATTAGAAAAAATCACATTTTTCACGAATATTAAACATGAACAAAAAAGAGGGAATAATAAAGAACAATGAAAAAGACGAAATAGTTAAACAACTTTCAGTTTCAATATTTATTCCACTAGATCAATCCCTTATGAGATGCAAATATATGGAATTTTGCAATACACTTTTTGGTTCTGTAGAATTAAATTCTCTCTAAAATGCTATTTCTATATGGCAAAACTCTAGCAAGGAGTACAATAATAAAAAGCATTTAATATTGCAGTATCAGTCCATCAGTCTACCTTTATGAACTTTTCCTTTTCTTTCAATTTCCTTCCTCTGTAAAAGAGGGAATCTGTGAAACCAGAATCTGCAACAAAAGCTGCTCAGAAGGATGGAATTTCAGCAGAATAAATGTTCTGATCTGACTGAAAATGCTCACTCATTTTTTGCATGTCTATGAAATTAATCTGGAAAAGGTAATTACAAAACAGGCTTTGTCAAATTTCCTTCTACATTCTCCAGGATGGGATTGGATTTTTTTTTTATTTTCTTTTGGAAAGTGGAAACCTGGGGAAGAATAAACATTCTGAGAAGAAACTGAAGGTGTATAACCCCATGGAAAACTTCAGAGAACTTTTATTTATACACTTTTGTGGCTCTGAATATCTTTGAGACAGTTGCAACTGCTTCCTTTTCTGTCTATAAATGATTTTTTGTTGTTGCATAGGGAATACATGCCAGCTTTCATTATCTTTATTCCTAAAATAGCCTCCTTTTCTCTCTAATGCTTTGAAAACCATTCACATTCTTATAGCTCCTTGTGAATACCTCTTTTTTTTTTCCCAGTTCCCTGTATTTTAACAAAAGAAATGAAGGATTGGCACATATAATATATATATATATATATATCTACAACAAAGCCAAAAATTCAAGTTGTCCAGCTGTATCAGGCAGCAGTTTTCCACAACAGTCAGGAGTACAGCACACCTGGAAAAATCTGCTGCTAAAGACTTCCTTTGTGCCTGCAAAAAATACATTATCATTAAGTATCTTTTGGTTCTTCTTATCTTGGGGTGCTCCTGAGCAGACACAGTTCTTTGTCACAAGGAGAAGATACCTACTCCAGAAGTTCAGAACAGCTTTAAATGGAAAAGTAATTTTCTTTCAAAATAAACCAGGAATTTTGTTAAAACTCTGCTCCTCCATTTTCAGGCTTGCAGACTCATTGGAATCAGCAAATAGGTACAAATGTACCTGAGCCAAATTGGCTCAATTTTTTTTTTATTTCTGATAATAATTTTGAAATTGTCATTAATTGTTGCTGTAAAGAAAATTATCATTTTTACTATGCCAGTAACGTTAGAGTTTAGCTTGGACTTCATTGCCAGCTTACAGCTGCATTAAAATGAGAAGACATTTAGTATTTGGACTGAATATTCAATGTTCTCATTATAAAGTTTGCTTCATGCTTTTCTAGTACTACAGCAGGTGGAAAACCTATCAAAATGAAAACAGTGAAACAAGCATAATTATTTCATTTTCAAATATATGTGTGGAATTAAAAGCTAATTTATTTTTTGTTTCAGAATAGATAGATAAATCTGTAACAGGCAATAGGGACTCCAGTTATCTGTTGGCAGAAAGAAATATTCCAGCTCCTAGTGAATTGGAAGAAATTCATGTTTTCCTCTTTGCATTTTCCAAAAATTCTTTCTTTGCTTCATTTGTGGAGTGGAAAAGACAATTTTTGTACAACAAATCATCTTGCATCTATGTCTTCCAGCTTGTAGTCTGTCCTAAAATCTCTGCTGTATATTTTACTCCCCATTCCTTTCCAAATTGTGGGAATGAAAAGAAAATATTATTTTAAAACAGAGGAAATAAAAATGAAGGAAAAAACCCAGAGGAAATAAAAATGGAAAAATATAATTTTAAAACAAAGGAAATAAAAATGAAGGAAATCTAAAGAACTTTCTGTCAAGTGCCTCTCTCTCACTGAGCTCAAACAAGCAACACATTAATGCTGCAGCTACAGTAAGACTAAACTCAAGGATTATTTTCCCTTCTACAGTAAGAATAGTTTAAAATGTTGCAATAAATCTGAAAAAGCAGATTTAGTACATGCCAAGTGCAAGATATTTTCTAAGTCTGTATGTTAGTATGCCATTCCTGCCCAAATAGTGGATTTTATAGTCCTTTTTAATGAAAGGTTCAGAGTTATATAAAAAATGTGGAATGGTTTCAAAGAGTCACTGTTTCAAAAAATAACTATTTTGAGCTATTCAAAGTATAGTGTCCTGGGATTCTCCAAAGTTACAAGACATGTTTGTTATAGAAAGGCTTTAGAATTGTCACCTTACAAAACTGAAAAAATAAGAGATAATAATAATAATAATAAAAATGACAAATTACCCATGCCATAATAGATCATTAATGTAGTCATTTATCCTTGAATGGAAAAAGGAACTACTACACATCCTTAAATGAATACCTGAGATTAATAAATCAATATCTTGAGCTTTTTTTAGGATCCTGGGATCCTAATAAAGTCTGCTGATAGTGACAGAGATTGCAGATGAGACCTGTCTAGGGGCAGTCCCTCTGTATGTCCCCAGAACTGCAGATGAGACACAATCTCAGGGGAATGGAAGGCCAGTGTCTTGGTTAGATTGAGAAAAATGTTGGCTTTTAAAAACTGAGTTAGGGATTGAAATAATTATATTATTATATTATTATTATTGGGACACGTGTGCAAAAGCAGCCGTGATCCCACATGAAATTCTCAGATAGTTGATGCAAGTTTCTTTCACAAAATGAAAAAGCATCAAGAAACAAGAAATTTTTCTATCCTGGTTGGAAGTTGGAATTTAGAATTACAAACCTACATCCTCAAGCACACTGCTGTGTTCTCATGTACGACAACTTTCTTTTCTGCAAAGATTCAAGATCTACCTACACAGATCTCAGATCAGTGCAGCAGCCCCTGGCAAGCCTACAGCTATTTAGGTGTGCTCATCTTCTCTGGCAGAAAGGAAAGGATCAAAAGTCTTTGCTTACTCACTTATTCATTGTATTTCCTAAAACAGAGTTTGTTTATCCTTAAACACAAGAAGTTTAGAAGCCTGAGGAAGACAAAGCATGGAGTACAGGGCTGCTCATGTAATTTTATTGTTATCTGACTTCTGAGACACAGCCTGCCCACCAAGGAGTCAGATTTCAACCTAGATGCATAGATCAGGCCATAGTAAATCCTACACATTCAATTGAGACGAAAAGATGAGTTTGTGCTCACAGTCATTCATGTCCATGGCTGGAGACTGTCACTGTGGCCCCTTCTGGCATTAATCCTCCAGTCATTCTGCATGGGCACATGGTGAAATACCCATTTCATGT